AAACCCCTCTCTGTGTTTTTTTTGAATGAACAACCTTCCCAGAGTCATGAAGATAAAGATGAACTCAGCTTATCCTATCCGCTCACGATCTGACATAGCAGCAGGCCCCAATCGCTTAGGGCAGAAAAAGGTAACAATCTACTGACTGGGGGTCAAATTCCAGTGAACTGACCTCTGACCATTAAGAGGGGTTGTAGTCTCCCACCCCAGTAGGATTACCTCCTCCATCTGACCTACAGTTGTCCTGGCCTGGCTGGGAGCTGCTGGCCTGCTCTGTCTCTTCATAGAAAGCCAGCCTGTGGTCTTTACAGCCCCCCATCCACCCACTTTATTTCCCAGCAGTCCCTCCGTGGCTCCTGCTCTGCCTCTGAACTGTCTGGCTCTGAACTTCTGTCCCTCTGGAATCCTCCATGTGAAGAGCCTCCGACACTCTGTCTCATAACTGTTGAGTTTGCACCTTCAAGCCAGGAGCATGTGGCCCCCAGAAGGCCTCTATCCTATATATTGGTCTGTAAGATCAAAGGACTGAGAAAAAGACAGAAGATCTGATAGCTGACGACATATGTTGTTGACAGTGACCTGGGCCCGGTTTTCCAAAAGCGTCTTAAAGCTAAGTTCATCGTTAGAACCTTCGTAGGAGCATCATTAAATCTCAGAGCTGTTTCCCAAAACCATAGTTATTAACGTTGCACTTTAAAATGTTTGTAATCTAACGCCTGCGTCAGACCACTCGTAGAACAGCTAAGTGCGTCATTAGATGCTTTTTTGCCCTCCTGTGTCACTTTATACACAGAAGATCTCCACTAAACATAGAAACACATGGTTCATCTGTCTCTCTGTGACCACCTCAGGACAAAGTTGCCAATGTCTTTGCAATTCATACAAACAAGCGATGTATAAAGATGCTTCAAATGAAAACCGAGACGACTGCATTAAAATATATACAGTATAGGCTGTAGGCCTATTTCAATCATATTGGAATACATTTAATGTTCAATCAATTTAGTTATATTTTGCTACTTGTAGGCTACTGTCTGTAATGTGTAGCCTGACATGTGCGCAATGATGTGCCAAATCTGTGATTTAGTGAATTTTATTGGGTAAGCATTAGAATAAGGTGTGTCAATATTTGCAGCCGTGGGTGGTAATATCTCTCTAGGAGCTGATCCATCGTCAGTATTGTGAAATAAATATAATGTTAAGGTAAGATTTGAATGTAGAATGCTGATAAGAGAGCAGCACTCTCTTTCTTTTGATCCTATCAGTAACTTAGCGAACGTTCTCTCTGCATGTTGTTTTGGGAAACGCATGTTACATCTTCGGACGTTTTAGGAAAGATCCATTGTTAAAACACTCATAAGCCTAAAAGCCAATTTATGCTTGATCCGAAAATGTGGTATGAGGGTGTGACGCAATTACAGAGCCACCGGAGGCCTGCAGAGGCCACATATTGTAACAATGCGGAGGGCTCTGTATAGCTCCACACTGACATGATTGGTTCACGGTAGGTGGGGGCGGGAGGTCCAGTATAAACACAAACTCACTTCCTTGACAACTTCCTTCACAACAGCTCTGCTCTGCTCAGCGAAGCGCAAGAAGTATAAATGCCCTGAATTCTGCAAAAGCCGTATCGCAGTAAATGCTGTACAGCTACTGCAGAAGTCGGATTTACAATGCAGAGACTTTAAGTGCCATCACTATCGGGAAACCGGGCCCTGGAGAGAAAAGGAGCAATTAGGTGTTTCTTCTGAAAGCCTTTGAGCTCTAGTCCTTTCACCAGGTTAAAAGTATTTTCCTTACAGTGGGGCAATGAAAGTATGCCACTAGGCTTAAACAAAGCCCCTGTTTGACCTCATCGACAGCAACCCTTCCAGTTCTATACCATACCCAGCTAACAACAAACGTTCCCACAACTTTCGAGAATGTTCCCTTAAGAGTCTCATTAGGTCATTAACTAACGGTTTCATAGGAATATTACCGGGATGTGCAAAGAAAGCTTCCAAGATACCATTCCCTTAATGTCAAATAGAACTTACCCAGAACGTGGTTACCATGTTCTTAGAAGTTAAGATATTACTGTTCTAGAAACGTTGCAAGAACATTCGTGCCCGGTTTTCTGTGGGTTAGGAAAATATTCCATCAACGTTCCACCAAACAAACACAGAACATGGTTGCCATGTTCTCAGAATATACGATATTTATGTTGTAGACACGTTTCATGGGACTGTTGCAAGAACATTTGTGTGTTGCCAAGGCAATCAAGACACTGAATGGTGAACCACTGATCCATTCACAGCTCTTTTTGTCTGATGGCAAGGTTAGGGTTAAAGACACACACAGTGTTTTTAACATACAGTGTTTACAATTTACTCATTTGACACAAATTATTACATTACGCATGTTCATTTATACAGTAAATATTATTCAACATGTCCTCACTTGGGAATTGAACTCACAACCTCTTGGTTCACGGCATTCAGATTGTCCTGCTACGCCACAATGTCTGTGTCAGTTACCAGTTAATTTGACTATTCTCTCAAAAAATCTTACCCAATCACATTAATCCAAATATCCTCAGCGGAACCTTGGGACAAGCAGGCAGGAAGAAACAGAAAGATTTGACCACGGTTCAACTGTAAATATCACAGATAGAAAGAGCTTAGTTACCAGTATCTTTGTTAATATGGCTTGTTCAAAGAAAATAAAAGTTGACTCTGAAAACCGTATATTCAAAGACGAGTGGACGGAACAGTATTTATTAATTAAACTAGCACAAAACCAATATGCCTGATATGCAGTGAGTCCGTAGCTCTCGTGAAAAGTGCCAATGTTAAGCGCCATTATGACACCAGGCATAGTACATTTGATCAGATGTATCCCCTGAACACGGAGGTGAGAACAAACAAGATTATCCAACTCAAATCCCAATATGAGAGGTCCACCAAAGTCCTTGTCAATTCCCTGACAGCCCAACAACATGCAATGGAGTGTTCACTGAGGATAGCTTGGGTTTTGGGAAAACATAAAAATCAATTTTCAGTCACTGAGATGGTAAAATAATGGATGTGTGAAGTTGCTGACACCTTGCTTGAAGGTAAACAAAAAGAGGAGCTCAGGGAAAATATCAAACAGATCCCACTGTCAGATTCCACAGCAATGAGGAGAACTGAAATATTAGATGAAGATTTAACTTCACAACTTGATGAGGCCATTCAGAATGCACCATGCATTTCAGAAGCTGTGGATGAATCAACAGATAACACTGATAATGCCCTGCTTCTGGCAGATTTGATAACGAAACAAAGAAAGAATTATGTGAGGAGCTGTTGGGCTTAACAAATCTAGAAGCACACACATGGGGAGAGGATATCCATGAGGCCATCAAAGGGATGCTGACAAAAAGGGGGATAGATCTGAAGTCAGTGGTCTCCATCACCACAGATAGAGCTCCAGCCATGATAGGAAGAGGGAGGGGACTAGTTGCGTTTGAAAGAGGACCACCCTGACCTGACATCATATCACTGCATCATCCATCAATCTGTCCTGTGTGCTAGTCTGGGAAAAGAGTATTCTGAGGTTATGACTACGATGATGAAACTGATCAACTTTTTGAGAGCAACATCATCCCTACAACACCACCTGCTACGAGGCATTCTGACAGAGGCCAATGCCAGTTTTGATGACTTACTACTGCACAACAATGTCAGATGGCTCAGCAAAGGCAGGGTTTTGGAATGCTTTTGGGCCATTCAGGAGGAAATCAAAGCTTTCTTATCAGAGCAAAACTCAGTTCCAAAACCCTGCCTTTGCTGAGGCAACTCAGTTTTCTCCGTTTTTGGAAGATGAGGAGAAGATGGAAACAGTTGCATTTTTAACAGACGGGACAACACAGTGTGTGATATGATAACAGCAGTCTCGGATTTCCAGAATAAATTTGAGCTTTTCAAGAATGATCTCCAGGGAGAACTTGTCCACTTTCCCAATCTTCTGGTGTAGACGCAGGGAGAAAAAGATGTTCCCAACCATGTTGATTTCATCCAGAAGCTGATGGATAACTTCAAGGCTCGCTTTGATGACTTCACTGTTGGAAGAGAACTGCTGCTGCTCATCCAGAACCCCTTCTTGGTCACAAATGTGACAAAGTTGTCAGAAGAAGCAAAACAGATCTTCAGATGGGTAGATGTTGCATCACTGCAAATGGAGTTGATTGAGCTGCAAGAAAATGTGTCTTTGAAGGAGCAGGCTGGTGATTGTGACCCTGTCAGTTTCTGGGGAAAGATGGTGCCTGCAGCTGATGTCCCTGTGCTCAAGAAACTGGCACTAGACATCCTGACCATGTGTTTTTGGCTCCACATAAAGCTGTGAATCAACCTTCTCCACAATTAACTTTATTAAAAATAAATACCGCACCAGGCTCACCAATGAACACCTGCACCAGTGTCTCAGAGTTGCTTTCACACCATTTGTGCCAAAGTTCAAAGCATTGGCAGGAGACAGAAAGTGTAATTTCTGTCATTAATGCAGGGCAAGGCCCAGAGGGACTTATACATGAATATTGCATGGCCCACAGTGATGTTCTGTGCATTCAGATGATTATTTTTGTTCAACTCTCCTTTGTTCTCCTGAAAACATGCACTTTCTTTTATTTGTTAAAAAAATCAAGGCCCATGAATACTTTGGTTCACAGTGCACTTTTTGCATAGACAATTATGCAACCACTTTTGTTCTTCAGCAATGTTGATGCAATGATGCACATGTTTACATTCGTAAGCAGTTGTAATTAATTCAATTTTTTTGTCTCATTTAATGTACATTTTATATAACATGTTTCCTAAGTCGTAGACGATTATGTTTGTTACTATGCTGTACCACAGCGCCGATAAAGGACGATATCCATCCGGACCAAATAGTAGTTGAGTACCCCTGCATTAGAGGCTCTGAAGACTAAGAGTTTGTGAGAACTCAGTAAGGTCGCTAGGGTACTTGAGGCCAGGTTCATTATGTGTAAACCAGAGACAGACCTGTAGATATGGCTGGGCCGTTTCCTCAGGGGGATGTTGTGGATAACCTGGCAGACCAGTCAGCCGCTCTCCGAGCTGTGTGATGACTCTTACATGTGTCAGGGGTCAGGGCAGCCTTCCGTCCAATAATAAAAAATTTAAAGAACTCCCGGTACCAATCAGCAGGCAGAACCTGGACTCCAGGAGGGACGTTACCGGGCAGGATGCCAGAAGACCAGAGACCAGGGAGGCTTAGAGAAAGGTGTTTATAAATATCTCCTGTTTCTTGGGAAGTTTACATTGAGTATGACTGAAAACAAACTGGTCTTTTTGTGTAAGCCCCATTCAAAAATGCCTACCATTCTTGGAGGCTTCGTATCACCTTTGAGCCCGTTTAGAGTGAAAGCGGGTCTCTGAGCACTTGGAAAATAATCATGCACATGTGTATTTGTTGAGGGCTTTGCCTAAATTATATCGGGGCTCTGTTGAGTACTGAGTTTGTTTTCCCTGTCTTATCTTTTGAAGGCCCAATGTGTGTGGCTCTCGCTTCCACTCCTACTGTTGCCCTGGCTGGAAGACTCTGCCTGCAGGGAATCAGTGTATCGTCCGTAAGTACTAAGAAGTTATATTACATTATATCAATCCGTTGATGACTAAATAACTTGAGTCATTGTGGGTTGCCTTTCCATTGGTAGTCCAATAAATCAAATGGAAGCCTATTGTATTTGTATAGCGGTTTCACACAAATGAAGTGCCAAAACCCCGCCGAAGAGTTGGCCAAGAGGGGAGCCCATCCTCTTTTGGGTGGCTGTGTAGAGGTTGCTTTGACATCTCTATGGCATTGTGTCTGTGTCTCCTCCCAGCGATCTGCCGTAACTCGTGTGGTGATGGCTTCTGCTCCAGACCCAACATGTGCACCTGCGGCAGCGGCCATCTCTCCCCCAGCTGTGGGGCCGGAGCCGGAGGTGAGTCACAACAACTAGCACCCTACACCCCCACCAATTTACCAGCAACCACCCAATACACCCCAACACCACCCAAGACAACCTAACACACACAATGGACCACCACATCTATAGATACAGGAAAGTACAGCAATCCATGTTGGTACCACCAACTGTTCCATGACAATATCACCATTCCAATTTGCTAAATCTCAAACTGAGTTTGCCTAGGTATCTCTGTGTATTCATGGGCGCGTTCGACATTGCAGCCGACTTTAAAGGCGAGTCGAGACTGACTGATCTACAAATCACTTTGCATCATAAATAACTACTTAATATTATTTGTAGATCAGTAACAATTTATCCATGATGCATCACGGTTTCAGCCCATTTCTTTGCCTGAAAGCTTTCAGCCGCTTCAGACTGCAGCCTCCAGGCCACCGAGTTTGGGAGGATTAATGCACATGGCTGGGGCTCCTAGCCTTTGGAGAAGCACTTTTACAACACTTACTGAGTGTGTGTTGCATGCTCGGCTGGGCCCGGGCAGTCTCGTCAGTCACGCCTAGCCCCTTCAGGCCCTTGTACACACACACTGAGCTCTGAGCCCTGAGTGCGGGCCTCCCCGTCTGACCCTGAGGTGTAAAACAGGATTGACTCCACAGTCCACACTGGTTGGACGCCCCAGAGAGGCCCGACACCAGCTTTATGTGCTGGGAAAACAGTTCCCAAAACCAGAGTATGAGTGGCTAACGTCCCCCCATAGACAGGACAGGCCTCCAGGCCTCCAGCAGAGCCCAAGTAAAGTGATGGGAAATGGTATGAAACAGTATGAAGTAATTTCCCTCAGAGAGAGAGAGAGGACATAGAGGCAGGAACTGATTGTCACACTCACTGCTTCTGCTCTCATACACGGGATGTATGGGCTGTTTACAGACCTGCCTTACAGTATTGGGCTTTTCCAGATAAACTAAGACAGGAATAGTAGGTCTGGAGTTTGTTTTGTCTGATTTTTGGCAAAGGGACCAGAAATGTTGTAATTCAACACTGTGAGTTGTGTGTATCATTAAAGACGGTTCTCTCTCTCTGGCCTTCTGGAAGATTTTATGGGGTCAAGGGTCATGCAGGTTTATGACTGCTGATGGCATAAATACACCCATCGGCCAGTGCTGGGAAATGGCTCTGTCAAAGCGTGGCATCTGGCCTCTGTTTCATACAGGTTTCATACAGGTCAGCAGTATAGCGCTGGGGAGTTTCTGTCCAACAAAGCTATATTTGATACTTCATAAAAACCTGCTCTGTCTAAATCAATCCTCCGTATGTTTTGAAACTGTAGGTTGACCTGTGGTTCTATTTCACTGTTGTGTTCAGTTTTCACTATGCATCTCAGTGCTTGATTTTAGTAGGAAAGCAAAGCACTTTGACACGTTACAGAAACTTCAGGCCTTCCTATGTTGCAATACTGCTTTGGGTAATTCAGACTAAGAGAAGCTATATAGAGTTGTTGGTAAATACTGTGCATTTCCCTTCCTTTTAATTACATCCGGTCTCTGACACCGTAGTCATTGGTCAGGTTATTGATAGTACTTTTATGGCTCAGAGGCCACATCTGGAATGTAGAGGTCGTAACTAAAGAACGACATGTTCTTCAGCAACATGCTTTCGATCAAGCTGTTTATATCTATCTTAATCCATACACGTGCCATAGTTATATGGCTGTGTGTTCATTTCCAGACATCACAGATGCAAATAAATTGTATTTATTTATAATTTATTGATAAAGTTCATCCCATTGTCAGAAGGCGTGGATGTGGTGTAGGAATCAATCGCAGGACACAGAGGCTTAGTCCAAAAGTCTTTAGTAAAGACAAAATGACACGGCTACAAAACAGAGCCGGAGGCACGAGAAAATTACGCACACTGCGTAAACGAGCTGAATGCAACAAACGCGCACAACAAGTGCGGACTCTCTATAAACAAAACAAATAGAGAAAAATGTACGGACTGCTCCAGCTGACAAAAGAACAACTACACACAAACACATGACAGAAACAACGAGAACTTAAAGGACACATAATCAACACTAAACGAGAACAGGTGTACCAAACAGACCAAACCAAACAAACATCGAAAACAAAGAACGGTGGCAGCTAGTACTCCGGAGACGACGACCGCCGAAGCCTGCCCGAACAAGGAGAAGGAGCAGCCTCGGCCGAAACCGTGACACCCATTGAGATTGCCCATCTCATATTTAAGGGAGACCTGTCCTAAGGGAGATTTGTTGATTAACGTTGACTTTGTTACAACATGATGCCTGACAAATAAATGAATGTAGACAATATAAATATCTGTTGACCATAATCTAGTCTCCAGTGGAGCAGTTGTGTTCTGGATTGGTCCAGTCATGTCAGACTTCTTCCCATAACTATAATACCCTTGAAAGACCATGAACGTTACCTCACAGTCCCTCAGAAACAACTGTCAACTAACATGGTCCAAACAGCCTCAGCACAGCTCAACTTTGGGGAAGTGGTATTATATAGATCTACAGTGGCTTGCGAAAGTATTCACCCCCCTTGGCATTTTTCCTATTTTGTTGCCTTACAACCTGTAATTAAAATGGATTTTTTGGGGGGTTTGTATCATTTGATTTACACAACATGCCTATCACTTTGAAGATGCAAATTTTTTTTGTGTGAAACAAACAAGAAATAAGACAAAAAAAACAGAAAACTTCAGCGTGCATAACAATTCACTCCCCCAAAGTCAATACTTTGTAGAGCCACCTTTTGCAGCAATTACAGCTGCAAGTCTCTTGGGGTATGTCTCTATAAGCTTGGCACATCTAGCCACTGGGATTTTTGCCCATTCTTCAAGACGAAACTGCTCCAGATCCTTCAAGTTGGATGGGTTCCACAATCTTTAAGTCATACCACAGATTCTCAATTGGATTCCCACGGGGGGCCAGTATAAAAAAAATATATATATATATATATATATATATATATGTATTCACTAACTGTAAGTCGCTCTGGATAAGAGCGTCTGCTAAATGACTAAAATGTAAATGTAATGTAAATGTCTGGGCTTTGACTAGGCCATTCCAAGACATTGCAATGTTTCCCCTTAAACCACTTGAGTGTTGCTTTAGCAGTATGCTTAGGGTCATTGTCCTGCTGGAAGGTGAACCTCCGTCCCAGTCTCAAATCTCTGGAAGACTGAAAACAGATTTCCCTCAAGAATTTCCCTATATTTAGCGCCATCCATCATTCCTTCAATTCGGACCAGTATCCCAGTCCCTGCCGATGAAAAACATCCCCACAGCATGATGCTGCCACCACCATGCTTCACTGTGGGGATGGTGTTTTCGGGGTGATGAGAGGTGTTGGGTTTGCACCAGACATAGCATTTTCCTTGATGGCCAAAAAGCTACATTTTAGTCTCATCTGACCAGAGTACCTTCTCCCATATGTTTGGGGAGTCTCCCACATGGCTTTTGGCGAACACCAAATGTTTTTGTTCATTTTTTTCTTTAAGCAATGGCTTTTTTTCTGGCCACTATTCTGTAAAGCCCAGCTCTGTGGAGTGTACGGCATAAAGTGGTCCTATGGACAGATACTCCAATTGCCTCTCTGATTAATGCCCTCCTTGCCTAGTTAATGAGTTTTGGTGGGTGGCCCTGTCTTGGCAGGTTTGTTGTGGTGCCATATTCTTTCCATTTTTTAATAAAGGATTTAATGGTGCTCCGTGGGATGTTCAAAGTTTCGGATATTTTTTTATAACCCAACCCTGATCTGTACTTTGTCCCTGACCTGTTTGGAGAGCTCCTTGGTATTCATGGTGCCACTTGCTTGGTGGTGCCCCTTGCTTAGTGGTGTTGCAGACTCTGGGGCCTTTCAGAACAGGTGTATATATACTGAGATCATGTGACAGATCATGTGACACTTAGATTGCACACAGGTGGACTTTATTTAACTAATTATGTGACATCTGAAGGTAATTGGTTGCACCAGATCTTATTTAGGGGCTTCATAGCAAAGGGGGTGAATACATATGAACGCACCACTTTTCCGTTATTTATTTTTTAGAATATTTTGAAATAAGTTATTTTTTTCATTTCACTTCATCAATTTGGACTATTTTGTGTATGTCCATTAAATGAAATCCAAATAGAAATCCATTTAAATTACAGGTTGTAAAGCAACAAAATAGGGGGATGAATACTTTTGCAAGGCACTGTATTACACAGACAGAAGAGCCCCAGAAAAAAAGCTTTCTTAAGACCTATGACTTCCGTTCTTGGAAATCCAAATCACTTCCATAGTTAATTTAAACACTATGGGCCACAGATTAAGCCTGGTCCTGGTCAGAAAATGTATTTTAATGGAGATTCTCCATTGAGCGCACATTTTATTCTAGGACTAAGAATAGTCTGTGTCCTGTAAACCAGCCCTATTTGATTAACTTTACTAATCAGATGAAGTTGTGATTACTGAAGTCCTAAACTGAAAGATGGAAATGTGATTCAGCCAAACTCACCAGACTACATTATTACATAAAAACAAATTGATTTGCAAACTGAAAACCTTCATGCTGTGAATCGTTTCAGACACAGTTTCTCAACATCTCAGCATGAGCACTTGTATTTGACAACATGACATCTCCATAGTGAACTTGACGTTGACATGTCACTATTCCCAGTAGCCTATACAGAACAGAACACAGCCATAAAGTACTTCAGTGTTCAGCCCCACGACCACTAGTTTCCTGTGCTCTCTCAACCCCCCGTAAAAATCACACAGATGTGGAGGACGCAGGCCGACCCACAGTGCATCCACACAGAGGTACATTGTGGTTCCCTGGGTCTGTGGGACCCCAACCTCCTACCTGTTGTTCTGCATGTGTGGCGCTTTAGGCACGGGTCACAGGAACGGGCCATCTCTCCCCCCTCCCCCCTCCCCACTTCCACCAACCCCCCATTACAGAGAAAACACATGAACCCCTCCAACCCCTGAATGGTTTGTAACACAAAGGTTCTATAAACTTAGAGTCTGTCTGATGTTCTTCCTATCCCCCCTCTTTGTGACCTAGAATCACTTTTGATCAGACATTTGAAAAATTTACTCTGCTTTGATTAAACGTTTGCATGATTACATCATGCTGGAATTGTATCCTCAGTCAATAGAGTCATATTTCATGTTTCATTTCCCTGTTGGGCTGAGAAGAGATTAGGCTGAATGCTGTGGGAGTTAAACAATATGGCCCTCTGTCCTGGAGCTCTGGGTTGAGCTGAGGTTGAGTCTGGTGAGAATAGACCTGTACACAAAACCATAAACCTGTAGTCCAAAGGCATTCACACTAATCCATCACCAAGTGTCTGCACGAGACGCTAGCCAGGCCTGGAGTCAGAATGGTCGTTAGCTGGACCAGCTGTGTACAGTTAGTCAGAACACTACTACTGGGTCATTTACAGTAACTGGAAGTTCTAGAGAAACTGTGTAGGTGAAGAAGGGTTCCGGGAAATTCAGTCATGCTGAATCCCCTCACCACCTCATGAATCACAGCCTGTAAAGACAGAAAGAGAAATAGGGATCAATTACAGTAATTAAAGATGGCAGCAAGATAGAGAAAGAGAGAGTGAGAAGGGTGTTCCAACTTCCAATCAAAGGCTTGCATGGGCATCATGTACCGTTCTACCCAGGCTGAGTAGAAACACGGGCATCTTCCAGGGCCAATTACTGTAGAAGTAGTATTATGAAATGTGTTTAGAGAGACTGACTAAAGGCGTCCGCATGCTTCCCAGCCGAAACAGTTCGGAAGAGTTTGTGCATATATTATGACAACATTTTGTGATGTTTTTGTTCGTTTTGGACTTTTCTGGAGGCAAGCCGAAGTTCGGAACTAAAGTCTACGCACCTTCGTTGGTGATTGGTCAACAGTAGGGATTCTTCAATAAAGTCTTTGTTGTCATTCAACGAGAGACTACTCGTTTTCATTTTTTCATTGAGAAATACTGCACCAAACATCTTAGTTAGATGTGGAATTGCATGACTAAGATGTCGGCAAAAACGTCACAATTAATGACAGATTTCTTGAGTTATCTTAGATTTAATTCAGACTATTTTGAGGAAGTGTATACTGGCTACCGCGTCTCAAAATGGACAAACAGTACTATTGCTTTTTTCTTGTTTTTCAAGTGAAGGTCTTTTAAGGGAGTATGCGAGCACACTCGTTCGGTTCGGCTAGATGCCAGCCGAACTGAAGCACACTGACGCCTTAAGCACTCTCACTCTGCTCTGGGATGGCTGCTCTCTGCCAGATCTGGTTGGATAGAGCAGAGCAGTGGGGGATCCTGTTTTACATCCCCACACATCCCCCCGAACATACTGTCTGTCTGTCTGTCGGTCTGTCTGTCTGTCAGCCTGCCTGCCTGACTGTCTGCCTGTCAAGCCTGTCTGTGTATCTGTCTGCCTGCCTGCCTGACTGTCTATCTGTCTCGGGCAGGCTCTGCCTGTCTGTCTGTCTGTCTCAGGCAGGCTCTGTCTGTCAGTCTATCGAAAGCTCGCTGCTTTGAGTTCTAAGTATGCTGCTCCTCCAGGATGAAGGTTTTCAGCTCTCAG